CAGAATATTATAGGTAAGCACTCATCCATTTACCTACGCAAGCCTACAGGCTGAAATAGAAAGCTGCCACCTGTAACTATTTAACGCAGGCAAAAACTACACAGTACTATCACCACCACATGCACTGGCAGTGGCCACTGGCAGTGGAATAAGTTACATGTAACACACTAACAGTACAGAATGCCATAGAAATTATACGATTTAAGGAGCATAAACCTTCTTCAACCAAATTTAGCTTTTGAAATTTCACTGTGACATTGTAGCCTCATACATCTAGGCATGTATAGATTCTACTAGCAAACCCGGCAGTCAAATTCTTTCTAACAGTATACAAATCCATGTTCAACCCTCTTCTTGAGGGTCAAAAGGTTATCAGACACTTACTCTTCGCATGTCAGCAGAAAGTACATTTCATGGTCCTTTCAATAAAGCCATAAAAATGGTAGGTCACCGCTGAAACAAAAAAGTTTTTCAATCGCTCCCTCAGACCATGTCCTCAGAAAATGTCTAAAATCTGTCCTGTGCCCCATTGACCTTTAACCTGTGACCTCCAATTTCGGCACAGTGATGGCTTTTCCTACCATGATGCTATACACTGACTATCACGAGCCTAGGTCGAGCCGTTTAGATTTGTGCCGCAATTCTGCATTTCCTCCCTATACCTTAAGTTAAGGATGGAATGTTCCCCCTTCTTTTACACCTCTTGACCTTTGACCTTTGACCTTTGACCCCCCAGCTTCGACATCCCAACTCGTTTTCGGATCCCCCTCCACGTCCCAAATATCGTGACTGTACGTCGAGCCGTTTAGATTTGTGCCCAACTGTTGACGGACGGACGGACGCACGGATGAACGGACGGACGCACGCACGCACGCATGGACAATCATGCGATTCTACAAGCTGCATCTGACTATGTCAGATGAGCTAATAATATACAACTAACATTTACCCAAAGCACATTTTTCTGTCAAGCATGTCAATGTGTTTCAGTGTTTGAAGCATCACACTGTTTGATGTTATCTAACCTGCCCGAACAAATAAGAAAGCTGCTGTCTTTGCAAACAGGTGACTGAACGTGTTTGTGACATTACCAGAAAAGTGTCTTAGACTTAGAGTGCATGTTAAAACCCCTATACTACTGCTTATTCCCAGTTACACACCTAATCTATAAATGCTATCTACTACATTGTATATGGAAAAAGGCAACAATAATAAGATAAACTGAATCAAGAGCGTATTAAGGAGAGCGTACAACGATGAAATGCTGAAACCATGTTGCAGTATTAGTCGAATTAAGAAACTTTGCCCGTTTTATTTTGACGATTCTCTGCGGTAGTATTAATCAGCTGTCCTACATTACTAATATAAAACAAACCGCTTGTCCCTACGATGCCCCTATGCTGAGATAATGAGAGGTGAAAATCTGGTATTTTTGCCGAAAACCGACTCGAGATCCCGGTTGGCAAAGAATCGTCAAAATAAAACGGGCAAAATTTCTTAATTCGACTAATACTGCAACATGGTTTCAGCATTTCACCGTTGTACGCTCTCCTTCTTAAACTGTCTACGTCACGAATTTCGAGCACCAGCAAGTAGTATACTTGTGTGTTATTTGTACAAAATAAAATGTATGAAAATACAATTAGCGTTTCTATTTACTTTTCATGCTCATATACCTTCTTTATACTCCCTAATTTGCCGGTGCATTCGATGTAACCAAACGCTCGATACAACAACAACCGCCATGAATTCGAAAATACTTGCGTGGCGCCCAGACGCAGCTAGCCGATATAGCGAACATTTGCGGTAAACGAGGCATTGGCAAAATTATTGTGGCAGCCATGGAAATTCCTTGTAAACTTAAGCGGGAGTTTCTCATATAATCTTCTTTCTGCCTTTTTCTCTTTCGTTTTCTTTCCGATGCACTGGTCTGCCCACCATTGTTTATCGTTTAGTTGATCTAGCCTCTGATCTATCCTGAAGGGGATGTCACAAACATTTTTGTTGGCAGAAATTTAAAAAAACACAAATAACATTTCGCAGTTTTAATAATAATTTTTCAAACATAATAAACATGAACAGTATATTATCTTATTTTCCTATATTGTATATTCTATATAGCAAGTTAAGCCAACACAAATCAAAACAGAAACTGTTTGGCACCACTTTGTGCACCATACACAAATCACGATGACATCGACCACAGCAACCAGTACAGCAACAGAGAGACGCCAGTAATGTAAATAGTGTTAGACAACACTAATTCAAATCGTCAAGATTTTTGCCAAATTTAACCAACGTAAAAACATTTTTATCACGTGAGAGTTTGAGGATATATTTAGTAACGTTAGTACAAACTTTTGATG